CCTGCCATCACTGATGGCACCGTCTTGGCGTGATGGCACATCACGTGACCAAGCACCGCGATGTCCGTTCTTCCTGTTAGGATCCCAAGTGGTTTCCCGACTATCTACCGTCATACCCGGGGAGTGAACACTTCCTGTTTGTTACTTGTAACATATATATATACAACGGCACGATCCGTTATTGAGCTCAAAAAGATTAAGGGTCGACCCGTAACCGAGTAGACAGAATAAAGCCGAAATCCAACCGCTGCCAAGGAGTTGGTTGAAGAAGGTAACTACCCACGTACAAAAGGAAATCATGAAATATATCTGCAGTCTATTCACGTGATACTACACCACAATGCGCTCCTTAGATTGCTGTGATTTTACTATTCAAGGCTTACGATAGATAGAGGTAAATCTAAAGAGCATACGACTATATACCAGAATCTAAGAGTCTTCGTGGTTTAAGCGCAAGGTGCTTAAGCAATGTTGGTGGTTCGTTGCAGAGGGCTGTTCGACCCGCAGGGACAGACGTCACTTGCAACTAGCCACTGCCACCACTGCACTGCCACTTCTCATGCTACTATGCATATACTCCAATCTGTTGACCTGTATATAAGAGTATGTGGAAGGTGCGGGGCTCATTTCTTGCAAGCATACATAAGAAGCATGTGAAATTGCGCATGACCGTTGGTGACATTCCGAGGTACTACATGTAGATCCTGGACCCAAGCTTCACAGCTGCTCGAAAGTGTATTCCATGGTTACTCTTCCTGTGCATTCTTACAACACGTTTCTTCCCCACTGTTTCTGTCAGACGTAGCCAAGATGTCAGAAAGCGACCAATTGGTTTCCCAGTTCGTCAATTATCCGACCCCCAAACCTTGCGACGTGCCGTACCAAGCCCCACCTCCAGGAAAGAACCCAGTGATCAAAGGGCCATTGCTGCACTATCTCGCCAATCTGTGAGCTTCTCTCTCATGCAAATTCCCTGGATGCGTCGGCTGACCTGTCCAGCGTTGCAACCGTACCTGTGGTGCCCGGAATCCTCTGGAGCAATGCTGGCTTCAGCACCCTGCGGCAATGCCGACAACTCGATGGCGTCGATGCGCGTTATGACCCTACCGTGATTCCGCTGTCTCGACCGGACGACGAAGCTCCAGCGAGCTACACAGACAAGTCGAACCTTCGCACACCACTGGACCACGCGTCGTCTAGCCGCTTTTACTCGGTCAAAGATTTCCACGACGGATACTCGAATGGCACATTCACACCATCGGACGTCATAGAGCGCCTACTGCCGCTCATCCGTAGAGATGTAGCGCAGCGCTCGCCATGTGCGACAGCATTCATGGAAACCAAAGTAGATCTTGTGAGGCAAGCTGCCGCAGCCTCTACACAGCGATACAAGGAGGGAAAGCCGCTGGGAATACTAGATGGTGTACCTTTTGGTGTCAAGGACGATTTACGAGTGAAGGACTACAAGCACTACGTTGGCACGACGCATGACTACAGCAACGGCGGCAACAAGGAAAGCAGCTGGTGCGCAAAGATGCTGGAGAAAGAAGGTGCCATCTTAGTCGGGACACTCACCATGCACGAGCTGGGCATGGGTAAGAGGCATTCCCCGAGTTGCGGATATGAGCAATTGGCTAAACAGACACAGATACAACCAACAACAACCCTCACTGGGGTACACCACGAAATCCATACAACAGCTCCTACTACCCCGGAGGCTCTTCAGGCGGCGCCGCATCAGCCGTAGGCCACGGGCTGATACCCTTTGCCATAGGATCCGATGGCGGCGGCTCCGTCCGCATCCCGAGCAACTACTGCGGCGTCTACGGCCTGAAGCCCTCACATTCGCGCGTATCCATTGCGCCAATGCCCAACTCGGGCAAATCCGTCACGGTACGCGGGCCCCTCGCAAGCAACATGGCGGACCTGGAAATCTCGTACCGCGTGCTCGCCCAGCCAGACCCCTCGACATATCCCTCGTCGCTCTTCGCCGCGCCACGCAAGTTCTCAGGCCCACGCAACAAAGTCGTCGGCGTGCCCAGGCAATGGGTCGACCGGTCCGACCCAGCCGTCCAGGAATCCTTCTACTCGGCCCTCGAATACTTGGAGCACCAACTCGGCTACAAAGTCGTCAATGTATCCATCCCTTTGCTCGCCCAGGGCCAGCTCGCCCACGCAATGACCATCATGGCCGAAGGCGCAGCCGCCCACCGTTCCTCCATCTACGACCTCACCCCCGCAAACCGCATCCTCATGACCGTCGCCCGCCAAACGCCCGCCACGGATTTTTTGCTCGCTCAGCGCCTCCGCAACCTCCTCATGCAGCATCTCGCCGACCTGTTTCGCGCAAACCCGGGAATGGTGATTGTCACGCCCACGGCGCCCAATGCCGGATGGCCCATTGACGAGGCCGAGCTCTCGCACGGCGTTAGCAATGGAAACATGCAGATTCGCAACATGGAGTATGTGTGGCTGGCGAATTTTACGGGCCTGCCGTGTATCCAGTTTCCTGTAAATTATGCGCAGGGCGTCAAGGGCGAGGGGTTGGTGCCGATTGGGATGAGTGGACATGGTGAGTGGGGCAGCGAGGATGCGCTGATTGAATTTGGGTTTGATGGCGAGAAGTGGTTGCATGAGGGGAGGGAGGGGGGAAGAGCCATGCCTGAGGCGTGGGTTGATGTGTTGAAGTTTTGATACCTAACAGAGACTACTATATAGTACACATGGAATTTTGCGGTCGTGACGAATTTTTCTCTCTTCTTGTTGTTGTTGTTGTTTCTAAAGAAGGAAGAAGAAGAAGAAGAAGAAAAGAACTAGATATGATATCAAAACTTATTTCAATGGCCTTCCATCCGTCACTTCGCCATACGGAGGGTTCTCATATTCGCCAAAGCATGCAAAGTCGTAGTCGGCAAGCTCAATCTGCTTCTGCATGACCTTGAGAAACGTGTCCATTTCACACCATCCGTCGTCTCGCTGCCCGCACTCGGCGTGGCTCTTGCCCAGCGGAATGGTGCGCTGGTTGAGGATGAAATGCACGTAGCTTGTTGGCTCGCCGTCGAGATAAATGTCGTCTTGGTTGCGCTTGGGATTGACGGGCGCAGGCGCACGAATGACTTCAATGTCGAGACGGCCGGCAAACGGCTGCAGGTGCGAGAGGATGAATTCGCGGTCGTGCTTGATGTGCGTGGTAGGTAGCTTGTCGTTGAATTGGCGGAGGCCGAAAGCGACAAGGATACTTAGGATGCCGGCGTCGTGGCTAAAGTCTAGATTGAGTGCTTGGTCGACGGGGAACGTGACTGTGTTGTTGTCGAGCGTGACATTGATTTGGGCAGAGGGTGAGGTTAGGACATGGTGTTGCATGCGGGCGAGGACTTCTTCAACGTAGCCTGTTGGAAAGATTGTTAGTGTTCCGAAAGAGTAGATTGTCATGGTACTATTGTCTAATGTATCGACTTACCAATGCCAATTGCACGACCAACAGGTGAGGCAAAACCCGTGCCGGCTTGAAAGGTAATGTCGAGTGCGTATTCAAAACCTTGCCATTCTTCGTAGGTGAAGAGGCCGCACCAGTGGGAGAACCCTAGGGAAACAGTCTCGTAGGAGCAGAGGGCTTGGGCATTGTCTCAGAGAATGTCAGTCCAAAACAAAATCTCCCAAAAACAGTCGATTTTTCCAAAGCATACATGTATCACTTAAAGTCCAGTCGAGATCGCCAGTAATGTTGCTCCTGAACCTTTGATGGGCATCGTGGAGGTACACACCCACCCAGTCCATGAACGCTACGATTAATCAGTCTCAGTCAAATCTCACGGGTCTGGTTGTATTACCATCCTTGGCTACCTGCCAGTTGGTATGATTACATTGCTTGTAACCAGCAAGCGTATTGTTGAACCCTGGTGCTTCAATGGCAAGCTCCAGTGTTGCATTCTGCGTCCATTGCAGGCCAAAGAATCCCGCAAGAAAGTATTCAGCTGATTCAGTCATGCGCCGCTGCGTGGTGCTCCGTACGACAATCTTGCTCCCGTTATTTGGGTACAAGTGGCCGTACTGATAGTAGTGCAATGTGCCAGACTGGAACAGCTCATATTTGCCATTTGGAACCAAAATTTCAGCGCCAAGCAGAAACTTCCAGTCATTTAGAAAGGAAAGAGGGCCGTGGGCGGTAAATTTCCCAGCCGCATCTGTGAGCTTCTTTCCCAGCGTCCGCTCGGCTGCTTCGCCACTAACTTCAGGATAGCGACTGCCGTGGCGATGTACCATGTTGACCCATGTTACGTTGGCACCAGGAGGAATTGAATACTCATTAACCCCGAACCCGCGGGGATTAGGAAAGTAAGGGCTAAGATTTGCCAAGCTTTGGAAGATATTCTTGTTATCTGGATTTCCTGGTATAGGCATTTGGGTTTCCAATGGCGTATTTGGTATGTACGACACACCGGCAAAGGGCGCCAGGTTTGTCTGTGCAAGAAACGGGGCAGCGCCCGTCTGGGTTGGGCCTTGGAAGTGACCATCGTCGGTTACAAAGTAGTCGGGGATGCCAGACGTCTTTGTTGTCGACGTGGCTGCTGTATTCATCAGCTGCCATATCCATCAGCCGAGCAATTGCCATGACACTAACGCTTTACAGCATGTTCACCATGGATGGGAATTTGGGCTCCATGGCCACCATCTTGTTCAATGTCAGCGTCTCTGCTCAAACATACACACAAACAATTTGCATTGAAGCGATTCAAGAGCAAGAGGCTTTGATGGACACAATGTACGCACTTGGGCTGGCCGGATACAACGAGTTGAGGAGCTGCAGTGAGAGCTCCAGAATGCCATGCATGGTGGGGTCGGTAGGTAGCCGCAAGCTCTTAGTGGACACGGGAGAGCTGGGTGGGTAACGTCACTTTGAGCGGTGTAAGGAGTAGTGTGGAAAAAAAAATCAAATGGTACGCAGTTGGGCGCAGATGACGGCTTGCACATGCACACGTCGCTGCAGCTGCTGCAGTCGTCAAGGCCTCAGTCTGTCAACAGAGAGACACAGAGCAGCTTGAGCTTGGGCCATGTGTCGCGGATTTCTCGTGACGCAATCCCGTGGACAGTCCAACACGGTATGCCAGACCCATGCTGAGAACCGCCTCAGGATGCGACGGCCGAAGTTTGAAGGCGCCATACACGGGAACGAAGCGACTTGGAGCAAGATGGGTACTCGAGAAGGCCTCGTACAGCGATGCTTACCACAGATCCGGGTTGCCGAGCCGGGTGCAGATACGAGCCCATTGTTGCGGTACCTGACCAGGATGCTGGGCTATTGTGGCTGCCGTCATCACAGTAGTGCTGCTGGAGCGATGGAAGGCAACTTGATAGTAGTGCTATTTACATACTTGGACGAAACACGGCACTAGGCGCCTTGTAGCGCATTGCACACACAGATGACCAACTCTAGCGAGTGACTTGCCATGATTGAAGAAAGAAAAAACGAGCAGGGCACAAGGCAAATGGGCAGATTGCTCGCTGTATATGTACGCATACAGGCATATTGTGCACATGTGCTTGTTGGGATGTGAAGCTTTGTCGATTTCAGATTTGCACTGACCTGTAAATGCACATGGATTCGCTTCCCGCTGTCCACTTTAAATAGTAGTAGTCCACCACGCGGCAAGAAAAAAAATCTGCGCTTTATGTGGCCAAGACTTGAGTGGACATGCCGACGGCAATCTCCCGGGCAAGCCTGAACAACTCACAAAATTCGAGACGGCTGGTTGGGCGATGCAGATGGATGATTCAGGTTTGGTCGGTGGGGGGGTTAGCAGCGTCCATGTGACTACTAGTATACTATCGTGGTACAATGCAGGGTCCGATGGAGTCAGAATATGACCCGTCTTGGCCAGCATAGCTGTGCAAAGCTCATTTTGGGCTGGTGCTTCATACGTATTCGACACCAAAGGGGCCCAAAAGAGGTACATGCATCTTCAGCTCCACTGGGGAGATGTGTTGGCAACGGCGTTGGGTACATGGACATGTATGTGTATGTATATATATGGAGGAGTTGCTGGCAAAGGTGGAGAGTCGGACGGAGCAATTTGATGACTCTTGTCGTGACGTTATCGAGTTGGAAAGTGTCCGCGATACATTGGGGCAGAGGGGCACATGGGCACGAGAGGACAGAAGCTTTCCAAGCGGTTGAAGCTAAGAGAGTGATATGTCCGGCCAAGTGATTGCGGAGGAGGGCCACAATTGTGGTATAAGCTGAGGGCTATTACTATAGGGGACGCGTAGTCGCCGGTGGTTCTGCGGTGCTTTGTATCCAAGCCTTGGGGCCTGTCGTAATGCCATCTCGACATGCATGACTTGCAGCACGACAGCTCAGTTACGGCGACCAAAGCCGTTAATCTGCAACAGTGGCAGCAACAGCGGCTTCCCAAGACAGTATTGGCGATGCAGCCCTACCGGAGATATTGTCCAATGGCTCCACAGCCAGTGACACAGCGGCACGCCAGCGGCTAGTGACTGGGTTGGAGGAGTAGATTAGTTGCTCTATTGGGTAAATTCGATAATTTCAGGTGTTTTGCGAGTTGCGTGATTGCAAGCTCCAGCCCGCCGTCGGGCCGACTGTGGTGTCGGGGTTGGTAGTGGTGGTGGTAGTGGGAAGAAGCCGGATAGCGCGATTGCATGAATCAAAGCCGATGTGCGAAAGAACCACCGAAGAACGAAAAGTGGGCACTGCTAGGCACATGCCGGACCAACGATGATGCAGAGCGAGCGGGGGGATGACAGGTTAGCAAACGCATTCAGCAAGAACGTTAGGCGAAGGAGTCGACTACGGCTAGTGCGCGTGCTATTTACATGTAGTAGGTGCGGCGCGGGAAGAGGAAGGGGCAGGAGCCAAGTTGGGCGTGGGCGCGTCACGGGACATGAGTTGTGCGAGCATGCAGTGGGCAGTGGAGCGGGAGAGGCAATTTGCAAAGCAAGTGTCGGTGCGCGCCATGGTCTCTTTAGGGGTTGAGGACAAAGTAAGGACAGGATGCGACTGTCGTCTGAATGACCCCATACTGATCGTCATCGACTCGATACATACTTACTCGAGGCTTAGGCTGGGAGGGGAGACAGACGCGCGGTGCAGGTAGAAGGGGTGAGGGGGCGGACCGACTCAAGCATGGTCCAAAGTTGGCGCAAGATGCATGTCAGCCGCTGCTGCTGGTGTTTGCAGTCCTTGGTGAGGACTGAGGACTGTATAGTAATCCTACCTAAACAGTAGGCAGTACCCCCAAGGGGGCCGTGTTGCCAAACGATCGTCAGGGTAGCAGAACAGCGGTGACCATGTACATGTGTGCAGTTGGTGTACATATCAAAGTAGCATGTCGGTAGCAGTAAGTGTGTGCACTAGCACGTTGCGTGTGCAGCGTTTGCGTTCACTCGGGGTGCCGCAGAGCACGAGTAGAGCGACTAGTGAGATGCGGATCGCACCGGGGAGGTGGGCCAACCTGCGTGGTGAAACGACCTGTCGATGATGGGAGAGGCGGCTAAGCCAGTCAGAAGCGTGGGGAGGGAGGCTTTTTTTCCTCGTCTCTTCACGTTTGGACGTTGAACGTCATGATCCTGGGGATCGGCAGGCGGGCACAATGAGGGACAGTTTCAGTTAGGCGGGCGGGGGCGGGAAAAGTCGCAGCCAGTCAGTGGTGGGAGTGTGCGGTAGTAGTTGGAGG